AAGCACATTCTCGACCTTCGGTGTTTGCCGGCCTCGCTCGGCTACGCCTCGCCCGTCAACTTACACCGTCGGCCGAGAATGTGTTACTTTTCCACCTAAATACACAATATACTATTGTGAAACACGTTGGGAAACACTATTTTTTCTACTGACGTTTCATAATAGCAACTTTTCGATTGTCATTTCAGTTTTGAAACGACATTCTTTTAGGCACTGAGTGCGTGAAAGTTACTTTTAGGCACTCAGTGCGTAAAAGTGACTTTTGAATGCGTAAAAGTGACTTATGAGTGCGTAAAAGTAATTTTTAAGCACTAGTGCCTAAAAGTGTCAATCATTATTCAGAAATAAAAAACAACACTAAACACATATTTGAATTTTGTTTTGTATTTATTATGAATATTGAAAATGGAATTACTGAATTGAACGTTTGGGTTACTCAAAACAGAACTTTGTGTTATTACCTACTTTCTAGGATTTTAAATATTGATGCCGAATTTTGAAAAGAAAATCGCATGAAAAGTGTCAGGTGTCAAGTAAAAGCAGGTGACAAAGATTTTGGGTGTAATCGACTTATTCACATGAAATAAAATTGTGTTTTTTTTATTATAAAATGCCAGTAGAAAAAATCTTGTATACAATACGTTACGAAACGATGTCTTTTAGTCACTCGACGTGTTGTCCAACTCGGCTTTGCCTCGTTGGACAATTTTCACGTCGCGTGCCTAAAAGACGCTCATTTCGTAACTTATTGTATAAATAGCTATTTCGTAACTAGTTGCACAAATAACTATTGTGAATGACTTTCCAAAGTTGATCGGTTAAAAAAAAAGAATAGCTTGTTACAAATATTCCTCGAAATATTCTAAAAAAAAAACACGGGAAAAAATATATTAGAAACTAACGTGCGCTGATTGGTATGGTGAGTTTTAGGCACCACCGGATAAGTATGGGTCTTCACTTCTGCTTAGCTCTTTTTTCATGAAATATCGGAAAATACAAAAATCTCTGTGTTACAAAGCGTTTGAAACCAGCAATTTATCTGACTATGCGATCAGGCCTCATTGGCAAGAAAGTTATCATCTTTTTCGTTTTCATTATTACCGTCGGAGGTCATCATACTTGTTACAAATAACTACATTTTTTGTGTTAGGAGGTCCCAGTCTACTGTCTATATAATAGATCTCAAGTCGTGCATATTCGAGATAGTCTCTCACTCTCACAACCTCATGCTGTAATTTCTGGACAAACCCAGGGCGTCCATTCTTGATCCCCTATTTTTTGTTATCTATGCATCTGATATCTGACAAAGGATAGTGTAGAGTTCATGTTAACTCCAAGATCACGAATGACTGACACCTGGGAGAATGGCGCTCCTTTGATGCAATAGGAAAATTCTGTCCCCTTTCGTTTTTCAGTGAAGCCTATGGAATGACATTTACCAGACATTTTCTCCATTGCATTCCGATCACACCACTCATCAGGTCTCTCTAGGTCCGACTGAAGCTTGAAACAATCATCCAATGAAGAAATTGCAACTTGAATTGCAATTTAGCACTTCAAATCATCAGGAAAACGCAGAAATTCAGCGAATTCAGAACAATCTGCAATATCATAAACAAACATTATGAACAGCAAGGGGCACAAATGGGATCCCTGGGGAACCCCAGAAGGATTAGGAATATTTTTAGAAGTGTAGCTATTTACTTTGACTACCTGGTCCGTGAGGTAGCTGGCCAACCATTCCAGCAAGGTCCCCTGAATACCAGCCGCTCTCAATTTATCAATCAACACCTCATGATTGACTCTGTCAAACGCCTTGGTAAAGTCTGTGTATACAGGATGAACCTCTCCACCCCCATCCAAGACGCCTGACAGATAGTCAACAACGGTCACCAAATTCAACTCAGTAGATCTCCCACTGACAGAACCAAACTGCTCATCGATAATGGACGAACCCAATATAAATTTTAAATACTGCAAAATTATTTTTTCAAAAAGTTTTGAGATAGAGCTAAGGTTACATATTGGTCTAGAATTGCTAATATCTGATCTATTTCTTGGATTGAAAATAGGTTTAAGGTAGCTCACTTTCCAGAAATCCGGAAATATGCCCGAAGAAAGCGATTTATTAAAAATAATGTGAAGTGGATGGTAAAGAACAAAACTGCAAGATTTCAACCTCAACTTCAACGCTACAGGAGGAGTTCGGTCAGGCCCAGGGCCTTTGTTTATGTGAATCACAGTCATTTAATCAAAAATGGATCATATCGGAATTTCACAGTCATGAGGGGATATCCTGACGAATAACATTTTTCTCGGCATGTACTAACTGAAAGTACTCAGCAAAAAGATCACTCAGATCAGTACCAAGTTGACACTGATTATTATCAAAAAACATTAAAGATGGTAACTCGGTTCCACTCTTCCTCTTATTCTGAACAAACCAAAACTGTTTAATATTTACCTGGTTGGTTTAATTATATTCGGTTCCCTCCACAAATTCTTGATAACATAATCAAGAGAGATTCCTACACTCAGATCTAAGACCACTATAGAATACATAATCAGTTCTTGACCCTGAACTTTTAAATGCTTTGTGAGCCCGCTGTTTTTTGTATCGTCAGCTGCTTGAATTCTGGGCCGACTTATAGTCATAATAAAAAACATCACCTAGAGGACCACCATTTCATTTTTTAGTTTGTAGCCATTCCAAATTAACTGGTTGACCACAGATGGTGATTCGAGGGTCACTTTTAGCGCCCTGCTATTATTTTTGTTATGCTTCCCATTATATGAAAAGCCTCAATAAAAAGCTTCTACTAAGATTTCTTCAGCAGACGGAGGAAGGTGTGATAATACAGATAATTCATCAAAATTAATATTTTCAACCAAAATTATTAACATATAGTCTACCTATATGTCTGAGAAAGTGTCTTTTAACGCTTTGCAGCAAATTTATATTTATTGATACTCATACAATCACCATAATGGTCAACCATATAAATCTTATAGTTTGGGGACCCGACAGGACAAGCATATTTAATTATAAATCTTACCACTGCTTACAGTTTACTTTTCAATATTATCTAGTGCAAGATATCATGTTTTACCTCGGGGCTTTGTTGTCAAAGTCTGTTGTTTTTTGTGGCGGCAATTTGACGATTTTCATCAGTTTCATCAAATTGTCATTTAGAACTATAAGAGTAGACTGAAAATGCAAAAATACTTGGAGAGCTTTGGTACTGTTGTACCAACTTTGTTTTGTTCAGGGAAAGGAACTAACCTGTAAATTTTAAAAATTAATGCCTTTTCCAGCATATTCTAGTTTTCTAATATGATTTTCAATGAGAAACTAGTGCTTTTTGAAGCTGATGCTCTAAATATTAACTTCCCAATGGAAAACTTCAATTTAAACATATTTTGCAAACATCTAATGCCTTTTGAAACATGAAGACTTAAGTATTACTTTTGAATAATCGTTTAATACTCACATTAAAACAACTAAAATAGTCCTTTTCTTTCAATTATAACCCCTGTGGTTTAAAACTTGTACGCTATTGGTCCGACGTACCCCCGCCCCCTTGTAACCTAATGTAATAATGCCCAAAAATTTTCGCAATTCTTCAATAATTCTCACAATTCCTTAGTAATTTGAACAATTCCTTGGCAATTCCCATTCCCACAATTCCTCAATAATTCAAACAATTCCTACATATGTCCCAATAAATTCTTAGTAATTTCCTGATTTTGTACACCATAATTCCCAGCTGTTTACCCCTTGGATTTCAATTGATTTAGGCCAGGTTTGTACACTAATTTAGCAGAGTTATCTGCCTCTCGATTTTTACCGAGATTTTTACCAATTGGACCCCATCCATCAACTAAAAAACTTTCTACCCATAACAATAAACTCCCACCTACCCCCAACGCCTTTTTTTATAGGAGTAGAAATATTGATCCTGTTGTGTTCTTCACTAAAATCTGTTCTGGTTGAGTCAACCTGACTATCGCCCTCCACAGCTTCTACCAAATCATGTTGAGGTTTTACCAAAATTGTTACTGTGAACCTTTCCTACACAAACCCATGTTGCGCAACCGAAATAATATTCCTGAAGTGAGAAGTCATTGTAGATGTTACCAAAACAGTCAACAAAATTTGGCAAAAGAGAAAGAGAGGCCTATAATTTGACATGTCAGCTCGATTCCCTGATTTTAATAGGTATAGCAGAGGTTAATAGCACATATTCCATTCAGTTCCAATGATAAATTGATAAGAACAGATTCTCACAGAGCGGACAAATTTTGTATTTTTTACTATTTTGTGTACTGTTAAGCCATCAGGTTCACAACCAATGATTCCCAAAATCTAATATTAGTATTTCTGGTATAATCGACCAAAAATCTGAGTTTTGAATCTGATGTTCTCTTCTATTACACTGAACTGGAAAAGCCAACCATAATTGCGATCATCCAAAAATATAGAAAAATTATAGAAAAATCGAGGAAAAAATATAAATTTTTAATCTGAGCTAACCAAAATTATCTTGTGTTTTCAATTTTGTGGATTAAAAGGCAATCCTCTTAATCTCTTCAAAGCTTTCAATAAATACAAAATAAATAAACCGTTGGCAATTTTTGTGAGTATCTAGACTAATTACCTCGCTAATTACTTAAGAATTATGGTAAGCTTGATAAGATAGTTAAACATTATAATACATGATCCAGTTTGTGCAAATTCATTATTATTTATTATTACATAATATAACATACCTAACTAATTTAAATGGAAAATATTATGTACCTACTAACTTATGCAAGGATAACTTTAACTTATAGAAAAAATAAATGAAAACATCATCTCCAATGGTATTTTCAGAATGTTAAATACCTACCTCGATACCTACCTAATTCCAATTCATTATGTGTGTATATAATAAAAGTTTCAAAAATTGATAAGTAATCACAGCTGAAAACTAACATTATTTCTTTGTCTTTTCCAGACATCAGAAGGTCACTTACTTTTCTACAAACTTAATGTTATATCCAACCAAAAAGGACTTTATATCCAGACTGATTCACCGCACGCTAATTTAAGAAGAGACAGTGCCGAATTGTTTATTAAAGAAACTATTCCGCCATTATCCTTGGAAATAGTATGAGGTCTTGTTATTAATCGAGCACAAGAAAATTGTAATTAATTTTTTAGTGCAATGAAAGTTTAGTATGGGATGGCAAAATAACCAGCATAGTATGCATAACGATGGCCGAAATTATGCTATCAACCACAGAAAATCATGTACTAAGATATAGATGGGATGGTACTCAAAATAGAGATTATACTTTAGATTTAAGACGGATACCTTTTTGTATAAATCAACAAGTTTCTAAAGGTAAACTAATTTATTTAGATTAGTAGTAATTTTTTTTAACAAAATAATATTTTCAGCAATACCAATAGTAGAAGATAATATTTATATAACTGATATTGAATATTCGCCATTAGTTGGAGGGTTTTCTATAGTTTTAAATGATGGGAGGGCTGCATTTTTGACTGCATCTTCACTTAAATTTGATCCTAATGTAAGTAGAATACTTACTCTTTACTATTTTTGCTTTAAAAAAAAACATATATTTTTGTAGCAAGTACAAGGAATCTGGGCTCAAAATATTGAAGACGCCACTTGTACAACTATTAATCATAAATATAGACTGATTACATTTGGTAGAGGAAAGTAAGCACATCAATTTAAAAAATAATTAATTCAATTAATTCAAAATCTATTACAATTTTAGTGCTGAATGTGTAGTATACTATGTAGACGACAGTACAGGAGGCCTAGAAGTATCTCACAATTGTGTGTTGAGCAGTAAAGACTATCCAGGATGTCCAGGAGCTGTGGGCAACGTTTTGTGGACTCCGGATGGTTGTGCGCTAGTAGCTTCTTGGTCGCAAGGTGGATTAGCGATATGGTCGACATTTGGCGCTTTGCTTATGTGTTCACTTGGTTGGGATTATGGTTTAAATGTGGATATACTGAAGTGTAATCCCTTACAAATCGTATCAATGGTAAAAATAAGAATTTATTTTATTCATGTTTTTGTTTATTTTTTCAATGTATGAGGCAAATAATAAAATAATCAAATTCCTAGTCACACATTATTCATTTTATTTTCATAGGATTTTGCCACTGAAGGCTACCAACTATGGATGATAAGGAAAATCATTGAAACTGCCACTGTGCCAAAACTAGACAATGATAACAGTGAAAATGGCAATTTTCTAGCAAACGAATCAAATTTAATTCAATTAGATTTTGTTAAAAGTGCTCTAACTATAAATCCTTGCATGGTATGCCTAAAAATAATAGCAAATTGTTGTAAGTTATAATCGATCTGTTTTAGAGCCATCAAAGTCATCTTTATCTGCAAGGAGAAGATAAACTCTATGTAAATTCGGCTGACAATTTAATAAAAACCTTTTCGGAAAGATCGAATAGAGATGAAGCAATTTTCGGAGAAAATATGGCATTAACATCTACTTTAGCTGAAGGAAGACAATGGCTTGTTATACCTGTACCTTCGACGTATTCTGCTACTAATTGGCCTGTGAGGGTATGTAACTATGTAAAAATTAAGATTCATATATTAGTGAGCACTCGTCAATCAATCATGCACCATAAAAAATTGATTCACAAACTGCTTTTAAAATCCTATTAAAACTGAATGTTTTTTTAGTATTCAGCAATAGATGTAGAAGGTCAAAATATAGCGATAGCTGGCCGTACAGGCCTGGCACATTATTCCATGCTAACTAGAAGATGGAAGCTTTTCGGTAACGAAAGCCAAGAAAAAGATTTCATTGTTGCCGGCGGTTTACTTTGGTGGCGCGACTATATTATATTGGGTTGTTATAGTATTGTGGACAATTTAGATGAATTGAGATTTTACTCGAAAGAATCTAAATTGGATAACAAATTTGCGAAAATGGTGTCAGTGAGCGCACCAATTTTGCTAATCAATATTTTAGAAGATCAATTATTAACTTTTGGATCTGATGCTCAAATTTGTATTTGGCAACTGAGACAAAACGATGCAGGTAACTGAAAATTTATTTTCAATAATCTCTTTTTTTAAAAAATTGCTTTATATTGTAGTTGGCAATGTTAACTTAACAAAAATGCAATCGATTGATGTCTCGGCTCTAGCTGTCCACCCAGCTTGTATAATCTCTATTACTCTAACTGCTCTCAGAACTGAATCAAATATTAAAAACTCTCATCCTCAAAACACACCCGAAAGTATGGTAATAAACGTAAGTGGACGATTGTTGCTGGTGCAAAGAGAAGCTAGGAACGGCGAGAAATCTGCTTGTCTTATGCCTACTGTGTTGGCTAGTTGTGTGGAAAATGTGTGGGTTCCTGCTAGAAGACATCAAGACAAAGTAAGTAGATTATTTTTAAATTATTTTTACAGGAGTTCTAACACTTTTAAGGCTCATTTGACTGAAGCTCTCTGGTTATTTTGTGGTTCACACGGTATGAGAGTTTGGTTGCCCCTATACCCAAGGGATGGGAATAAACCCCATAGTTTCATGTCAAAAAGGATAATGTTACCATTCCAATTGAAAATCTATCCTCTAGCAATATTGTTTGAAGATGCCATTATCCTCGGAGCTGAAAACGATACAGTACTGTATTCCTCTGACCAAAATTCGCCATTTTCACTGCCTTTTAGTGTTCTGCAAAGAACTGTAAGAGTTTTGAATTGTTAAGTGGACATTTTGCTAATTAAATTATTTTGCAGAGTCAAGTTTACTTGCATCAAATATTAAGACAATTAATAAGAAGAAATTTGGGATATCATGCCTGGGAAATAGCTAAAAGTTGCATGAGCTTACCATATTTTCCTCATTCATTAGAACTTTTATTGCATGAGGTAATTATCAATTAAAAAAAAAATTATAATAAAATAAAATTGTTATTTTTAGGTTTTAGAAGAAGAAGCTACAAGCAAAGAACCCATTCCCGATGCTCAACTGCCAAGCGTAATAGAATTTATAATGGAATTTCCAGTTTATTTACAAACAGTGGTACAATGTGCTAGAAAAACTGAGATAGCTTTGTGGCCCTACTTATTTTCAGCAGCTGGAAAACCAAAAGATTTGTTTCAGGAATGTATGGCCAAGGGTCAGTTGGATACTGCAGCCTCTTACCTTATTATTTTGCAGGTATTTATACATCCAAATTAATGTAAAACTTTTTCTCAGTAATAAAAAATTTTAGAATTTAGAAACATCATCTGTTAGCCGTCAATATGCTACTTTATTGTTAAACACCGCATTGGACCAATCCAAATGGGAATTAGCCAAAGATTTGGTGCGGTTTTTAAGAGCTATAGGTACAGGTTTGATGATCTATTGATGATTATTACTATTCAAACAAAACTGTTCTTAGATCCAAATGATGTTGAGTCTCCACGCAACTCCTTCATCCTACCGAGTAAACTAAACAAGCAAACTCCTCCTGTTAGTCCGAACGCCGAAGATATTTCTCTTATATTAGGAAATGTTCAAGGGACCAGGGTGCGTTCTTACAGTACTACAGTATCGCCAAAAGTATTGGAAAAGCAAAATACTGTGGAGAAAATGAATTGTGTTCCAGAATCACCAAATCCGACTAGGAAAAAATCAGTTCCAGCTGGGCCTGGATCAAAATTTGATGCAAGGTAGAGTATTTCATGTAAATTTGTATGCCAGGAACTGTGATGATTGAAGGAAAATAATAGTTGTTACCTAACTTTTTTTTGAACCTCTCTAATACTTACTGTGTAATGCGGTCTTCTATTTCATTAAGCTGAGACAAGTATCGATTGACTGATGTTGAAATGCCTTATTCCTACCTATTTTGCAAGCTCCTTTTTCACGTTGCTGATAAATTTCAATGATTGCAATATTTTTCTCTAGGAGCTCAAAAATTTTGTGCATGTTTGACAACGTATGTAGGTCTAAATTTCATTTTCTACTGATCATTCTTCCCATAATTGAGTCGAATGAGTGATGAATTTTCAACACCGTGTTTTTCAGAAACACAATGTTGCATATTATGGTAATAGGAACTTGTAATTCTGAATAAGTGCTTTCCTGCTCTCGTTTGGAAAAATACTTTTTATTTTTTGCAAGAAGACTTCCTCTGCTCATTACACCTAATAAGGTTAAATACAATTTTGAACATTTGATTATTGTTAATTAACAATGAATATTAGCAAATTTAATTTATCCTGCATAGTTTTTCTAGAAAGCGTTTTAGCCTCATGCCATTCTCAACACACTGGAGGACTTTGGCTAAATTGTGAGTAACAAAATTTAAAAAAAAACTTGTCAGTGGATGAGGAGTATCTGTGTAGGTTGGGGCAGGCATTTTTTACGCTTTGATGTTACTGTTTGTGTTAAATGTGTGTGTTTTGTTCACAATTGCACCTAATTCAAGTTCCTGATCAAATTTATCCAGAGACTTGAGGCAACTTGCATCTCTGAAATAATAAACTCATTGAAAGCAGGAAAAATCAGTTTTAGCTTTAAGTTTATTAAACCAAAAATTTAGAGCAAGCTTTCAACATAATTGTGTAGCTAAGAATTTTTAAAATTCCCCAACTCTTCTAGGAACTCCCCAAACAGCACCGCAGAAGAATTCTTCATCGATGTCATACTCCAAAAACACGCTAGAAAACTACTGTCCAACAGACGACTGACAGATTTGGGATACTTTGCTGCCCATCTCGATTTTCACTTGGTAGCTTGGTTAGGAAAAGAACGAGACCGAGCAGCTAGGGTAGACGATTTTGTTACAGCTATGAAGCAACTTCACGAAGAGTTCAATTGGCCTTATCCTGTTCCGTCGACTTTGTCGCCGAGAGAAAGTTTTTCGAGTAGGTTGAAAATAAAATTAATATATTTCTGATGTCATTATGTATATAATTTAGAGCCTCAATCTCCAACCGAATATGCTACTACTGACAGCTTAGAAGACCAAATGCAATCTTTAAAAGTGGACGTTTTTAATTATCCTACAACTTCCAGTAGAGTGGGTGATAGTGGTTATATGAGTTTTCAAGGCCTACCAGGCAGAGGCTTAGTTACTCCAGTAAACACATTGGATTATTCTAGTCAAATTACAGACGAAGTTGATTTGGATGCTGAACACAGTTCTATTTTGAAAGGTAATGTAAGAAATGAACCGTTGAGTCCACGGGATAAGAATTTGCAGTTTTTCATGGGGGAGAATGTGGAAGGATTTATCACAAATTTAAATTTAGGTACCTAATGATCTTCCTTTGTATAATTGTTTCTAATGCCTAATGTTTTAGGCTTACAAACTACATCATTACAAACAAACAATATAATAGATGAATCGGTGCTAAGTACTGTCAGTTCTGTATGGGACGAGGATAGAGATTTAGTAAGTAGTCCTAGTACGGATAATTGGGAAGTTCCGTCCACACAAATATTAGAACATTTATCAAATACAGATAATCGAGGGTCACATAAATCGGAGATCCAATTAAGGTACATATTTAGTTTAAATGAAATTTTCTGTTATAATTTTTATATCAAATTTAGGTATTTACTTCAACTCTTCATGGAAGCCAGCTGCTTAGAATGGTCCTTACTGATATCAGTGTTGCTCAGAGATGCTATGGCAGTACTACGTACGGTAAATGCTGCCAAATCGCAAGATCAGTCCATAGAGTCTGTGTCCAGGCTACGACAGGGTGTTTTAATATTGAATTATTGGACAAACACTCAATGGTAAAAGTTTTTTTGTTAGTTATTAGCGAGTTGAGGACCTCTAGCATTTATTATTTTTCTATGATTCTGTAAGGTTGCACTGTTCTTGGAATATTTGTGGGAAATATTATATCAGACATGGTACCTTCTTGGATATCATCCTAGAAAAACTAATTTAAATCTGCTACACCAACATGCACATCTAATACAGGGCGATTTAGAGGACTGAACAATATCATTTCTATTTGTAAACAGGCATTTCAAGTTGAAATACCACCTATATATATATAATTTCTCTTGGGAGCCAGGGGTGTTTCTATAATTTTTGCTTTTTTCTTGGGCATTACCATCTACATTCTGCACCACCTGTTCCAGAGAATCCGACTAACGTAGGCATTCAATTTTTGTACATGTTAATTAGATAAGATCATATACTGGCGTGAACTGGGCAGCCAAAAATTAGCAGCCTGACTCCCGAGTCTACCCGAACAATCAGTGGCGTCGTTTATGTTTCATTTTTATGTACTATACATACATTTTCTATAAAAAACGATAAAATTTATTAAAGGTAAACAAGAAAATATTGCAAATGGATCCAAAACATGCTTTTGAAAATAAACAAAGAATTAAAATTATTGAAATATAATTTTTTCACAAACTTAGGGACAGGAATTTCCACATTTTCTTCTCAACCAGGTGGAGTGAAAACTGCTTCTAGATACGATAGACTCATTTTGGGGCACCTTACTTGACTTGCAAATTGGTCCAAGGGTGATTTTGGAGGGTGAGATAAAATAAAAAATAAAAAGTAGAAATGTCAATTTTTCACAGAATTCCGTGTCTTCGGACGTTTCTTTCACAACCGGAAGTTTCGAAACCTGTTCCCTCACACCACGAGAAATTTTAGAGCACCTTACTCGACTTGCGGTTTTAGGGGGTAAACCAAAAAATTTAAAAATTGTAAATATCAATTTTTCACAGAATTGCGACATTTTCTTCACGACCGTGTAGACGTATTAGAATCTGTTACTAGGCACCATATAGGCACATTCCAGGGTACCTTATTTCGTCGGTTTGGTGCATAACTATCCTAAGTCCATTTTTTTCCAAAAAAAATGGGTTATGAGTGATAGTTGTGAAAAAGACCAATTTTTTACTGTTACACTATCTTAAGACAGCATTTTCAAATTTCCCGCCTTAAAAATTTATAAAATACATAGTATCCTAACAACGAAGCAGAATTTCTCCATTAATGTAAATTAGCCCATGTCCAAAATTGGACTTAGTATAGTATGCACTTAACAAATGGTTGACTTAGGATAGTATGGACTAAGCAAAACCATAGACTTTGGTTATAAGCGAAATAATGTTTTACGAATCGTTGCTATTCATAGAGAATTTGCTATTTTGGCGCATGAAATTCCTATGAAACGTATTTCGAGACTTGTCACTTTTTTCTCGTGTAAACAGCTTGAGAACCACTACCAGTGCTACAGACTTCCAGACCAGTCAAATAATTATCTCAGTATTGTTTTGTTTACTATTGATTCAGATTTGTTTAAAGTTTTGTGTTTTGACAAGTGTATACCATAGAGTGTATACAACATCACCTTCACCTTCATTTGCAGTATTTTCTTGTTTACCCTCAATAACTGGATCAATTTTATCGTATTTATAGAAAATTTATGTATAATACATAAAAATAAAACATAAACGACTCCACGGGTAGACTCGGAAGTCAGGCTGTTAACTTTTGGCTGCCAAGTTCACGCCCAGTAGATCATATTCCCATTCCCACTGGCCATAGACACATTAACTATATTGAAATGTAACGACTCGGTTATATGTAGTTAACCAATAGTGACCAAGAAGATCTATACTTCTGTAGTGTATATAAATATGAAAAACCGATGCAACCAATTGCATTTAATTGAAAAATTAATTTAACTTGACTTATACACATTAAAACATAGTGGTTATTTTAAGTCACTGGCTTAAAAATTTAAGGCTTCTTCAACTCTCATCTATTAACTAAGTATCCCCATGTGCAGACTCTAGGAATCGTAGAAAAATATGCTATGAGTCTGCAACTAAACCTTAAACAAGAATGTATTTAAAGTAAATTAATTCCTAATTCTCTTTTAGTTTGGGATACAAAGCATTTATGTTGGCCATACAAAATCAGATGTCCGTCCTAACCAGAATTCTGGAAACCAAGATCCAACATCAACAAATCATCGACTATCAGCAAGCTGTATCTGCAACTCTGAACAAAGTAACTTTGCAAAATCCTCGTTCGCGAAAGTCGAGTCAAAACGTCGACACCAGCGCGAGTACAGGGAGTATTAAAAGTAAAAAAAGCTTTAGTAATGGTAGTGCAGTAGTAGTGCCCAAAGTTTTGAGTACTAGTACAAGTGAAGTTGGTAAAAATGAAAAAATTACCAACGAGGATGAAGGTGCTGAAGATTCTCTTATACCTGAGAGTACAGGTTGTGTGATTATGTAATTTAAGTAACCATATTGCCAAGATATTTTTCAAATTAAACCTATACATGACGTAAATAGTAATATATCGAAAATATTTATATAATATTTACTGTAAAAGCTGTAGAATAAAGAAATGACTTTCGTCCATTGGTAATGCGCTGTTAGAAAAGAACTGAAATTTTTTTGTTATAGGAAAGTTTTCAATCTTCTAGGTTATTAGAGCATTTTTATATTAACCAGTTTGTAGCCTAAATATCCATGTTAAATAGTAGATGAGTTAGTACATAATATCTTTAATTTATTATTTAGATCAGAATCTCCAATCAACGTTAATTTTTTTAAAATTCCTATTAGGTCTCTTTCAATCTGGCTCAGAAACTGTTATTTTTTTATGCACTTTGTTTTATCACAATAGTTATTGTTAAGTTGTAAGTCTTTGAGGTAAATAAGCTCTTCTCGTGTACCATACACCACAATGAGGTCTCTTATAAGGCCTGTCAGCAGCATGTTCATCTTGGTCAGTTGGTAAGACGGATGGCCACATTGGTCTATAAACTTCTAGTGACATATTCATTAATTCCAGTTCAAGGTAAGGTTCATTATTTTCTTCTTCCGTTACATCCCAATATATTCCAGAATTCTTCGTACTAGAACCAGTGACTCGTGATCGCTAATAATTGCATTGTCCGTATTAATTTCCAGTACATCTACATGTCGTTCTTGAATAGATAAATTAGCATCAACTTTCTTTATTGGCGATGACTTAAAAGCATTAAAATTTTCTCGATCAGTTAGATTGGACTGGCCTTACTTTATTGAGACGACCCACATTGTTTTGGTTGTTCATTTCATGTTCTGAGTGTTGCTTAAGTTATTCCAATGGTCAAAATTTCTTGGCAGTAGCTTGATGCATTTTTCTTAAGATAATTTTTGATTATGCCTTCTCAAATCTGCGCTGTGATTGAAGTGTTGATTCACCAGTTTAATCGTCCCTGAAAGACTTTAGACTTGAAACAATTTTTTTCTATTTGGGTGTCATATCGAAGTCTTTTCGACACTAAAAGTAGTTTCGAAAAGAAGCTCTTTGAGACACTCCTTTTTTACTTATCGGAGGTTGGTTACACTGGCTGACTGATGGTCATCGAACTGTCATTCGCGATTTTATAATAGAAGATTTCTATATTTGGCATGCAGTGTTACCAACTTAAACATATGAAATCAGGAAATATGAGAATAAAACTTCCAAGAAAAATTTGTTTTTTTTAATTAAACAATACCAAAATAGAAAAAATAGTATAAAATATTCGTTTCATAAGACATTTTATCGCACTCGCCCTTTAGAAAACTCGCCTCCGGCTCGTTTTCTAATATAGGGCTCGTGCGATAAAATGACGTCTTATGAAACTTGTATTTTAATGTACTATTATTTGATTTTGAACCCAAATATCGTTGATCAATTAATTTTATTTATTAAAAATGTGTTTCACAATGAAACCAATTTGGATTCTTATTACGAAAGTTAATTAAGTGTACCTGTGATTAGTTTGTAATTTGAATAATTTTTCTTGCCCAATAATTATGTTAAAATTTAAGGGTTGAGGGATTTAAGTGTTTTATAATTTGTAGTGAAATATTAATATGGAGAATATACGGGGTTACTCATAATTTGCCTTGTAACATACCTACATCGAGAACAGATTGAATTATCAGTAACCAAGTATCATTCTCATATATTTAACAGTTATTATTGTTTTAGGCAATAACTCACTAGTTATAGGTATTTATCATATTTTACCCACTGAGCATTTACTTAGTTTTTAATTTAAAGAAAAATACTGTGTCAAAAATTTACTGTGTACCTATTGGACAAATCTGTATCCACTAATTAAAATTTATATTTATTTATTTGTTTAAATGTGCAGTACCTAAATCTGTTTTGCCTTGTTAACGATTTAAAATAATTAACTAAGAATACTAAAAATACTCTTTTTTTGTTATGTATTATAGTTATTTTAATATTTTGTATAGAAATTATATTATTAAAATTATATAAAATTAAAATTTGGTGTCTTAATTTTCCATTTATTTTATGGCGTCAAATAATCAATACCATTCAAATGTCCATCGTCACGTTTCCTTTGCTGTTCCAACCTTTCTCTGTCGTAACCGTCTATACCCAAACCCAATCTTTCTATAGCATTTTCACCCAAATAACCATTTAGCTCTTGGTATTGTCTGGACCGTCTTGTACCGACATCAGGATCAAAGGGCCATTCTACTGATTTATGTAAAACCGGATGACCTGCTATATTAAATTGAACCAAATCTCTTACTAAAGTTAAGGGATCTGCTTTAGTGATGGTGTTTAAAGTGAGAATGGATGTGAAAATCTAAAAAATAAAATGTTAACAGAATAAATAGGATATGGAAGTGTCACCTACCAAAAAAATTAATTTTCTCATGTTTGCACTAAAAAAAATCACATTAACAAGACAGCTGTACTGCCAATGCATAAAGCGAAAGTGGTTGTAATGTTGCTAACCACAAAATGCGACCATGAAATTTACCATTTTCAACTACTGGTCGATGTTATTGGGAAATATATGGAAAACTATTTCACATAATTTAATCGTTTTTTAATGAAGTAGGTAGGTACGTGACAAAATATATTTTTGTCATTATTAAATGATGAAGAACTAGTTAAAAAGTTTAAAGTTTTCTATACTTACTTATACTCCCTTCTAAAACGTGATAAATTGACATTGAAGATTAATTTTATTTCAAAGACACTTTTCATTGAAAAATATTTTCAAGATGTCCAAAATTTAAATTTCATAATTAAAGTATTGCAACGGTCAATGCCATCACGAATACCACTTCTTTTCTTGCTGGCTACTTTCACTTTCCGCTTTATGCGATCCATTGATATCATTTCATTTGTCTTCGGTGTGTTGTTAACTTCTAATTAGAAATTCAATCATTTTCACAGTCATTTACTAAATTTTTTTAAAAGAAAATGAAAACGATGATAGTGGTGAGTATTATGAGTATCCATAATATATAGGAATTTCCGTAAAAAATTTACTAAAATCTAAATATTACTTTAATTATTATTTTACTTAGTAAAAGTTGTTTTGAGATTTTCATAACAATCTTACTTTCACATTCATTGTGTTTTTAAGATTCGGTCCTTTTTTATTGACGTTCTGATAAACTTGCTGACAAATCATGGATTGCGTTTTTATCCGTCAATTTATCAGAAAATGAATAAACCAGACCTAAATCATACAAAATATTTTACATACCTACTATATTTCAGATTTGTCTTTTCACCATCTTCTGCTTAATGTTATCAGAGGCATTACAGCCGAAAGCACCCAACTTTCAGTATTTTGAAAGGTAAGTTGTTTTCTAAAAAAATTTGGTCTGATTATTCCTATTATTTTTGTATTTTTAGGCCAAAATACCGTTATCCTTACTACGACGAAAATGGCAATGGTCGGCTATTGTATGGATATGGTGATGATAAGTTGTACCAGTACAAAGTATTTACTCCACTCGAAGGCATTCATTGAGGCCATGTGATTTTATTGAATTTGTGTTTGCTAGTCGATTTCTATATTGTAGATATTAAATTTTATTTTTGTTAATGAGACATATTTTTTTCTTAAAATTAGCCCCAACTTATACCATGTGTTGTTCAAAAGATCTGCTCTTCCGAATTTGTCTATATGATACGGAAAAAATCCAATTTGAGTTTTATGCAAGGGGAAAATCTTCGAAAGACATCCGACAGGTTGTTTGGCGGCTGGATAGTCTCGGATTTGAGCGGATTGCCTGCTTTACCGACTGAAAACCTCCTGCATCTGCCTCCGGAACTGTCTTCCAGCATTATTTCAGGGTTCATCTGGTACGTCTAGTTCTGATGTTGTTGTTCTCTTCGTTTTCTTTCATAATCTTCCTAAGCATGTCCGTCACAGCTATGGAAGTTTTCCTCCGAGAATATCATGAGTTCTCCTATGTTGTTCTTCGTTATTTCGCAGCTGCAACGCAGAGTCGCCACTAATTTCATGCTTTCAAATCTGCAGCATTTGAAAATCGTATGTTCTGGTGAGTCCTGCTCCTCGCAGAACCAGCAGTTATCAGTGTCCTGTCTTCTAATGTTTTTAAGATGGGTTCCCAAGATTCCGTGTCTGTGTAGTGTATTATAGTACCTAGTCTACCTCTCCCCACTTCCTTTCTATCCAGGGTCTTATATCACTGATGAAGCATTTTGCTCGGCTTTCATAGTTGATCCAGCTTGTTTGTTAGGCATTCAGCACTGTCTCTCTTGCTTTGCTTTTCACTTATTTGTCTTCCTTCCCTATAGATTTCCTGTCTCTCTTCCACAGTCAGGTCGTACTGTACTTGCACTTGTTGATACGGTTCTATATGTAGAGGTGATCCCTATTTCCAGTCGTACCCTCTCTAGGATTCCTAGGTATTTCATATAATATATGCCTTTCAGATATTAGTGGCATAGCATTATCCATGGAAATTTGACAGGTTGACCCTCGTATAATAATGACATTTGATGACAAAGTAATTTTTAAATTTCAGAGTTATACAGGGTGCTACAAATTGGAGTGCATGCATGGGGATATCGGAAACCATAAGAGATACGAGGTTGGTTGAATTATGGCAAAGTTGCGCAATTTTATGACCAATAAAATTCCGTTTTAAAATTTGAAAAATCCCGAATACTTCCGAAGATATTTGGAAAAAACCGAAATTTTGCAAAATCATTTTTATTTTTTCCTGAGTCTATTTGAAGAGCAATTTCAAAATAAATGTCACTTCCTCATTGTCACTTTTTTCCCTTTACAAGATGTTGCTATCAAATTTCAGATTCGACGTTTCGTCTTTGGGCGGCCATCATCGACTTCGTTTTTCTGAATACGGGCCTGAATTTTTTATTTCAGATTTTTAGAGCTTCTGATGTCCCAATGATGACGTATCGCATTTATTCGAAAAATTATTTTTATTACTTTTTAGCAATTTCCTACCAAAATTCTCTTCTCTGTCTCTCTCTAACACATTAAGTTCTTATGGAAAGTGCCAATAATATAAATTTTTCGAATAAGTACAATATCTCATTGGTTTTGGGCGATCAGAAACTCTTAAAATCTGAAATAAAAAATCCAGGCCCGTATTTAGAAAAACGAAGTTGATGATGGCCGCCCAAAGACGAAACGTCGAATCTGAAATTTGGTAGCAACATCTTGTAAAGGGAAAAAAGTGACAATGATGAAGTGACATTTATTTTGAAATTACTCTTCAAATAGACTCAGGAAAAAATAAAAAAGATTTTTCAAAATTTCTGTTTTTCCGAATATCTTCGGCAGTATTCGGAATTTTTCAAATTTCAAAACGGAATTTTATTGGTCATAAAATTGCGCAACTTTGCCATAATTTAACCAACCTCGAATCTCTTACGGTTACCGATATCCCCATGCATACACTCCAATTTGTAGCACCCTGTATAACAGAAAGCCGAGTTGCCAGAATGTGTAAAATATCAGTTGATTCAATTCCAAAATATTTTTCCAAATTAATTTATTTTGTTTGAAATAAAATAAATCCAACGTAACCAGTAAGCTCAAGGTTTAAAGTCAACCCCTATTTTCTGAACCTTGTGTTCAAAAATTCCAAAAAAAAATATAGGTTTAATGGTTATCGATATACTTTAATCCATAATTTTTTCAAGCTAATTTGACTCGCCATTTTTGAGTTATATCGCAAAAACTGAAAAAAAAGTAGTTTTTCACCATTTATTTCAAAACGAATAGATGAAGTTTCCCATTATTTTTATTACGAACTACTATTGCAATTCTACGAGACATATATTTTTTTCAAATTTTTTGAACTTGTAGTTTTCTCGCTACTAAAATAGTTGGAAATACGCCCGTAGCTACATTGTTTAAAAAAAAATCCGACGGATGAACGTTCAAAATTATCTGCGTTGGTCGAAACCTTTTCGAATTTCCGCCAAAAAAAGAAAAAACGTTCCATCACACAATTTAACCAAATAAAGATTTCTATTTTTTTTGACAGTCAAGTTAGGGCACACTATAGGGGCGACAGCATTGACATCTCGCGTTGCTGTAATAAACTATAGGCCTGACTTTAAACCTTAACAGCCTAAGCGCCAAATTATGGACTCACTGGTAAACGTCTGGTTGTTACCTAGCAGGTACTTTCTATGCACTAGATGGCCGAGTTCGTTTTTGTCATCTTTTTCGTCGATTTGCTCCGAAATTTTGACAGGCACGTGATTTGTAAATTGAAACTGTCTTATCTATTCACGTGCCTGTCAAAAATTCGGAGCAAATCGACGAAAAAGATGACAAAAACGAACTCGGCCAGAATAGAAAGTAGGTACCTGCTAGGTAAAAACCAGACACTTACCAGTTGGTCCATAATTTGATCCTAAATATGTTTTCGCAGTACCTAACTTTTTTCTCGGGTTTGGTCCAACAAAAATATTGGTTGTTGGTTGTAAGAAATCGCTTTACATCTATGTATTTTTACACTATACCCACGCCAAATATATCTGGTAATTGGGCTTCAATTATTATTTCCTGAAGAACCTCTGGTTTGTTTCACTCGAAATACCCGTAACATTTTATTATTCCCTATTGCACCTATTTTCTCTTGAGAAATTATTTTGCACATCTAAATATGAAATAAATTTGACAATGCCGAATTTTGAAAAATGTCAATGGATTTTCCAGGTAGGTATGTACCGTTTATTGCACTATTGAAAAATATATTGACAAATGTGTCAAGTTGGATTGGCCAGATAGGCCAGAGAATTTTAATACTGCGACACTTACGGAATTCGGTGAAACACACTTAAAACTGTCTGGAATGTGACATATAATGTCATTATTATACGAGGGTCAACCTACCAAATTTCCATGGATTATGCTACGCCAATAATATTTGAAAGGCAAATATGTATAGGATTGGAGAGGTCACCGCGCTGCTCAGGATTTTTCTTTTACCAATTTTGGGGCCACCTATTTTTGGCATTATTCTCATTAATACATTTTTCATGTTATTAGCTTTTTCAGGGATTCTTACGATGTGTGCTGTAATTTTTAAATTCTTATCTAAGTATGCCCCGAGGTATCTGACAATGGCATCACTCTGTATTGTCTGGTTAAGAGCTTGATTTCCGCGTTCAGTATGGTTCTTCGCCCGGCTAAGATCAGAAGTTCTGCTTTTTTTTGCTGCTACAAATATGTCCATTTTCTCCAGCTTGGAGGCGATCCTTATGACTGCATACTGGGCCTTGTCCTCCAGTTCTTCTCTGGTCTTTCCTCTCACGACTTTAGCCAGGTCATCTGCGTATGCTGAGTTGTACCCAGCTTTCGGTGTTTATGCGTACGATCTGGCCGTAGAAGAGATTCCATAGTGTCGGTCCCGCAAGTTATCTCTTCTTCGGCGCAATTATTTGTCGTTCTGACAGGTGCGAGTTTACTATTGCTCTCAAGTATCTGCTGACTCCGCCCTTTCGCAGATCTTCACCGACTCCCCGCCATGGCTGCTCTTCTATTTATGTCTTCCAATATTGCTTGTACTCTTCTCAGTGCGTCTATGGTAAATTTTCCTTTGGTAAAGATACTGGTTTTCTTGTATCAGTTTTTTTTCCGGTGCTTCGTATTGGAGCCTGTTTCTTATCAGGGTTTCTAAGAGTTTACCTGCAGTATATCTATTAGGTATAGCGGTCTAAAAGATCGTTTGCTATTTGATTTGGTATACTTTGCCTCAGATATTGTCCTCGAGTTCCTCACACTTGATACATATCTGTTTTTTGCTGTGCTAATTTGGTTTTCCAGTTGATGTTTGGCGTCTTTATATTGGCTGGTGAGTGCTTCGAGGAGATTTGCCTGTGTTTTGCGCCCTCTAACTCTCGTAAGCTGCCTTCTAAGTTTTGTGCACGTTTTCCTTTCTTCCGCTATTCTCTGGTTCCACCAGTAAACTCGTGGATGTTTACGTCAGACATGGTAAAATGTTTATTGCATGCCCTAGTGATTGGTGTGTACCAAGGACGTATATAAGGGGGGGGTTTTGGGGGTTCAAACCTCCCCCATTGAACTGAATTAAAAAAAAATTCAAAGAAAAATAAACGTTTTTGGGCGTGGAAACCGAATATTTTTTCGCCTTCGGCGATATCCTCCGGCGGCTATACCAAGTTATACCTATACATCGCTGCTCTAAAATTGAAACCCTTTCCAGCATAGACCACGAGCCGTCACTACTCTAAAACCTCCCCCCATGTAAAAGCTATAGCTACGTCGTTGGTGTGTACGGGTTTACTGTATTTGCGTCTCGGAATATTGTGGGCACATTCTCGGTGAACTTCGTTAATGTCCTATATTGCTTGTCTTCCAAACTCTATGTTTTTAAGTTGTGTCCATTTCATTTGATGTCAGATGTATCTCAAATGTTATCGCTAAATAAGTTTCCCTGTTTTTCATACACTCTCCATCCTCTGATCATCTGCGGCCTTCTCTTGATCTTAACACCTTGAAGTCTATCAGTGAGCTTCCTCTTGGTCCAACCAAGGATGGGCAAGTGACCTTCATTTTTCACGACCAAGCCTGCTGCTGTAATCCAGTCTTCCAGGATGTCTGCCCTCTGATTTGTATTATTTGATCCAAACATGCGACACTTTATATTAAGGTCTCCTTCGGTGATTATCTCCTTGTTTTGGTGGCGCTTATTAGTGTGTCCATGGAGTTAATTAGATGTTCAAAGTCCTCTATTTGTTCGTTTGGTGAAAAAAA